GGAGTTTTACCTGACCAGTGCCTGACACACAGAGCTGATATGCGATACCGTTTGACCGTAATGAATAGTATTTGTTATTTGCATTGGTTTGCCTATAGCTCCCCTTCACCTGGATTTTCACACTCCCTGCCTTACCCGACGAGTTACGTAAGTGCCCCAGGCGGGGAGAAAACTACGGTCCAGGTACATGTACAAAGTGTTGTTTACCTGTAATTCTGTATACGGGATTGTGTTGTAATTTTACATGTGTCGATTAAGTTTGTTTAAAAACACAGAAAACACAATTTCTAAATATAAGAATGTATAGACAGAAAGATAAGTTTATAGGTGTTGCTAGAATATAGAAACATACGTAAACATCAAGTTTATATGTTTAAACACGAAACCGTACAAATTGTTAAGGAATTCCTCAATTTACACCAATTCAACCACGCACGATTGTTAACGCACAACGTCTGTCCATCGTGCACACAGATGTGCGCAAGCATTGATCGTCCAGCTTTTTATCGTTCGCCCACCGTGCGCACACCGCACATCGTGTAACGTTGTGCGATCCCACAACTGTATAATTATGTCTTTAAGCTCATTCCAGAAAGTTTTATAAAATTCTGCTGTTATACCATCTAGCCCTGGTGATTTATTTAATTTCATATTTTTTTACAGCGTCTGTACATTCTTTACCTTCCGTCGCATAGTTTACTTGTGACTTTATTTGATTTATTTTCCAAAACTGTATTGCTTAAATAATCGTTTACGTTGGTGGGGTCTGGAGATTGTGTGGTGTATAGGTTTTTTTTATAGAAATCATGCCCTGCTTTTAAAATCTCTGATTCTTTTGTTATTGTTTTACCCTCAACATTCAATTTTGTTATACTTTTTCTCATCTGTCGTTTGTTCTCTAATTGGAGAAAATATTTGCTGTGTTTTTCTCCCTTCTCTTCCCAATTTTCTTTCGCTCTTATTTGGGTGCCTTTTGCTTTAAATTCATAGATGTCTCCTATTTGTTTTTCTTGATCTATTCTTTTGTTTTCCACAGCCTCATTATCAGTGTGGTTAGTCTGTTCGTTCAGTATTTTTAGCTGTCGTTCTAGCAAGTTTAATTTGTTTTTCCTTTCTAGACTTTTCTTCATGCCGAAATCAATTGATTTTTCTTTAATTGTGGATTTTCGTAATTCCCATCCTACTTGTATATCTAGTACAGCACTGTCTATTTCATACCGGTATTCATTAATAACCTGTTTTATTGTTTTGATATACTCATCATCAGTTAGGTAGGAATTTTTCATTTTCCAGAAGGATCTACCTCTTGTTGGTTTAATTTTAACGAGATAGCCATGTGATCTGTATGTTTTATAATTGCAGGTCTTATGTCGCATGTATTAACAATAGGCCTGATATCCTTGTTAATTAACCTGTGGCGGAGGCTGAGAAGTCTATTCTACTTTTCTCAGACCCGTTTTTTCTTTTCCATGTAAATTGTAACTTGTTTTGATTAATTTGTCTCCAAATGTCAGTTAGTTTATTTTGTTTAATGAGCTGTGTTAAGCTGTTGGTAGTTGTGTTTCGTTTATTTATATTAGTTTTTCTGTCTGTTTGTTTTAAGGTGTCGTTATAGTCACCCCCTATGATGAGAGCCTTTTGCTTCAGATTTTATAACTTCATTGATTCTTTTAAAAAACATGTTTCTGTCTTGTGGGTTGTTTGGTGCATAAATATTTATCAGTGGGTATGTTGTTTGATCAATTTGGATGTTTATGAGTACATAATGACCATTAACATCTCTATGTGTATTTACAATGTTATAGTTTACTACTAATCAGTATTGAAGTTCCCCTACTGTTACTTGTGCCGTAACTGTCTATAGTGCCCCCTTGCCATTCATGAATAGTCAAGACCTGAAATACCAGTTCTCTACCAGTCTATTTTTAGCACAACGAGTCTATTTTTATACTCCCACCTCACATAGGACACCCCCTGATATCGGCGGAAAACGCGACTCGAGAATGAATTTTGACAAAAACTTCAGAAAAAAACCTTTTATTTCATGTGAACATTGAAAAGTGATGAAAAGATTTCATAAAAATTAACCTTGTTTTGTGTCCTGTTACACATGTGAATGTACATAACAGAGAAATGAGTGTGAATATTTAGTGTTTTTGTTGACCAAACAATTGGACAAGAAGATCATACAAAGCCTTGTTTTCTGTCCCCCGATACTTTGCCACGTCTAAAACAGATTCTCTCCGATTGGTAAGAATGGTTGTGATGTCATACTTACCTCCTGTTGATTCTATATGCTGTTTTACATGAGATTCACACTCAGTGAACAGGTCTACATCTGATGTAAACCAAGCTATAAAATGTAGGCAATGAAGGTCGTTATTATTTACAGCTGTAGTTAGTGCTGGGTACGACTCCCACAGATATTTACAAACCTCCATGTGTCCAAACTTACAACTATAATGTAACACTGTTTCCCCCGAATTACTCACTAACAGACACATGTACTGAGCACACACACAATTCCTGTGCACCACACGACCTCCTACTGTCTCACACTTATGTTGTTTGTCCTCAACTCTATACAAGGATTTAAGTATAACTCTCTCCACTGTTTTAAATATATCACAGTTTTCTGTCTGTGCCACAAGATGGAGCGTGCTTTGTCCCCAGATATCAGTGTCATGTACCAAGTGTGGGTAAGTGTTACACAACATGGTCACCATCTCTTCTCTCTCAAACAAACCAGCCTCCTGTAGAATATTGATATTACTAGTATAATGTGGTGATCGTGACCTGTATGCCCTCGCTGTCTGAGTGACGTCATACTCCAGTAGTTTACGTAACACACTCACACTCCCTCCCTCTACCACACAAAACGGTGTCTCCTCGTCAGGTGTCACACCCACCGACAGGAGGAATAAAGCACATTCTGCTGGACCAGAAGAACATGCTTTATTCAACAAGAAAAGTTTTTTCCTATCATTCAAGTATTTAACAATCTTTACTAACACTTTCTTGCTCTCTCCCGCTACCACATACAACGGTGTCTGCTTGTCAGGTGTCACACCATCCGACAGGAGGGATAAAACACATTCTTCTGAACCAGAAGAACATGCTTTATTCAACAAGAAAAGTTTTTTCCTATCATTCAAGTATTTAACAATCTTTACTAACACTTTCTTGCTCTCTCCTGCTACCACATACAACGGTGTCTGCTTGTCAGGTGTCACACCATCCGACAGGAGGGATAAAACACATTCTTCTGAACCAGAAGAACATGCTGCATTCAACAGGGCAAGCATTATCACATGGCACAAGTTTTTGTCAACATTCTGACCCCTTAGCCATCTGATAAATCCCTGCAGAAACTTGATATCTATCCATACATCTAATGAAGTTAAAGAATGATATTTACTATAAAACCAGTCTCTTTCTTGGTCAGAGTATCTAGTATAGAGAGATTCAAACTCTCCGAGTAAACGTTTATACATGGCATTGTACTGATTACCAGATGATATAACTACTTTGTTTGGAGTGGTTTTTGAGGTAGTTACATAACTCAGAAACTTCCTGGGACAATTCTGTATGTAGCCAATGGGAGTTTTTTCTCCATACAAAAGGGCCAGAGTTTCCTCAATTGAGTCATGGTTGAATTTGTAACAAACTTTTTGGTTTTGGTTAGACTCTTTTTTCACCATCCAACCCAACAGACAATCTAACGAATCCTTCACAAATTCTATTTTCCTCCCCTTAGACCTATTGTGAACAAGCTCAGCTGTTGTGGTAACTTTGACTATACCATTAGCAAATGCTGCTTTTAATAAATTCTCATCAATATTTTCATTGTTAGAGTCTAAATCATCTTCCATGACTTTGCCTCCATTAAGAAACAGATACATCAGACCATAACATTTTCCGTCTTCCAATTTAGATAATGAGGATTTCAGAAAATGAAAAGGTCTTTTAAAAAAATTGACCCTCTCTGCTTGCAAAGTAGATGAATCTCTGAACAACCTACAGCATTGTGGAAACCCAATGTCAGGAGCACACTTGACAATTTCCTTCTCTTCATCATCTTTCCATGAGTCAAAATTATCTTTTGGTTTGTACAACCTTAACAATTCCAGTTTTTCTTCAACATCTATGTTAAGGTCAACAATGTTTTGTTTAGTGAATACCTTTTCTAAGCAAGATCCAGTTAAAGAATTTGAAATTCCACTACGAATTGTAATGATCAGAAAATTGCCCTCTGTGTGCTCATTTCCACAAAGTTTTGAAATAATAGATTTTTCTCTTTTCTCCCATTCTTCCACATCTTGTTTACACACAACATTCTTCCCAAAGATATAATCTAAATAAATAACTAATTGTGATTTTCGGGTCACATTATCCAAGTCTTTGATATCATGCAGTTCTAGTGGCTGACGACATTGTTGCCCCTCCTTATTATAGCACAGCCGACGGAGTAGTTCAAGGGCAATTGATGTCTTCCCGTCTCCAGAATTTCCCTTGATTATCACCAAGCTGTTCTTCTTTAGTTTATCGTAGGCATCATGGAGACTTTTGGTAGAAAGGAACTCGTATTCGTCCTTTTCTTTCAATATCATGGCTGTGGTTGTTTCTGCAAGGAAAAAATAAATCATGTCCAGTAAGAACAAACGTCAGAGTGAAATAGCCAACATTTATGAGTCCCGCATGGAAGTCGGGTTCCCCATGGAAGTCAGGAAATACATCTTTAACGTTAAACAATGTAAAGATAACCTACAATATAGACGTATCTCGATAACATATATGAACTTAAGAGTTGTGACATTATACATTATCTGATGGCAAAGATTGACTTTTCTCTCATTTCCCTGTGTGAAAGATAGAGCTGTCCAGGGTAGGAAAGGGGTGTAGGAAATTTCTATCTTATAACCCATTTCACATGACATGATGTCACAATGGCTCAACAATGACATGACATCACGAATTTGGAACTCTCTGATGCCGCAATGCGGAAAAGGCGCCGAGATGAAATTAAAACTTTTTACGATATATTTACCGTACAGGTTAGAAAGATGAGATTAATTTTTCTGCGCAAACCTTGTTTGCAAATATGGGATATGCTCAATCTGACTGGCCGATTCATTTTCGTCTAAAAAGCTCAGGGGAAAATTGATTTTTTCAAAATGGTAGCCAGTCATAACGCATTTTCATGGTTTCAGAGCTTATTCTGGTAGTTGGAATGAGAGAAAAATACTCTTTCATGCCCAAGGGTGTAGGAAAGGGAAATTCCATCCTCAGGATTTTTAAATTTCGCATGTTTTACCAAATTTGAAAACCTTTCGGGTGGAATTTCCCTATCCTACACCCCTGGGCATAGAAGTCTTATAATATTACCCAGGTGTTTCTGAATCTTTACAAAGGAAGATATGCTAAAACACTGACATGTCAACAAGGGCCCCGCTGTTTGCCTTAAAGTATATTACATATCCCAAATTGCCAAGCAGATGCCATAACAGTAATTTTTGATTCTGGAATATGGATAGTAATGCATCATAGTAATATATATTTGCAAAGGAACATTTACCAACAGGTATGAATAAAATCTGACCAGCAGAGCAGGAAAAATTGCCTGAAATATCTCAGACAGTCGGAAGCTATGGCAGCCACCTGGTATAATGGTATCTGAATATTATTATATATTTACCTCACTTATAAAAATGCACCATCATGTAAAATTTCATTAAGTTTCAGACTCCTGGAGTCTGAGACAATCTACACAAATGAGAATGCGATCAGACAGACAGTGTGTAGATAGACAAACAGACGAACTGACAGACATAGTGATTACTAAAGGACATCTGCAGGGACCTAAATGACAGATGGTTGAGCAATTTATTCTTGCATTGTATTTAAGAATGATTTAGAGCATAGCTGAATATGAATAGCTTGTCTCACTAAACTGAATTTGACAATGATAACAATAACTAAACACAATCTGTTTCCATCAATCAGCCACAATCATAACATGACATATCAAGTGAATATGATTTTGACCTTGGATGGACGATTACATAACAGTTATTGTTTTATACAAATTCAATTATTTTGCATGCTCTTTAGCATCTGAACAGTATTGTTTGAACTTTTCACTAGTCGCTGTCCCTGAAGATTAGTTTGGTTGATATACACGGTATGCTGCAGCTCGACTCTCCTTCATCAAGTCAGATCTTCTTATCCATCCCCGTTCAGTAAACTCACCTATCATAGCTGTTAGCTTAGGAACCCTATCTGTAAAATACAAAGAATCCAGGTGATGGTTTTAGATAATTCACAAAACGTTGATTAAGACATGTGCAATGTAAATTTGGAAACATCTATTCCTATTAAAGTAAAGATTAATCATCACCATAAAAAAGAACAAATAATATAAACATTTTATTACATTTTTACCAGAGAAATATCAGAAATTATCAATGAGATAAGAAGGTATATCTTCACTGCTATTTATACATATATATATAATTACTGCTATGAAAACAATACTTGCTATATGACTTACCATACATTAGTATGTATACAATAATGTTGTCATGTTATCAACCCATGTATTTAAATATTTTGAAACTGGTAAATGGGATGCATCCTTATTAACAAACATCTCACTGACTGGGATTGTGGGACTAAAATTTTACGCACAAGTAATTTTCACCTGAAGTCAAGCATTACTTTAACACGCGTTCAGATAATCTCTAGACTTATTGTTATTGGAACCTGCCATTCAAGTGCCTCAAAGCTTTTATTTTTTGACAACCCAGTCTATTTATCACCCCATGGAGTGGTTTAAAGTAGCTGGCATGCTAAACATAATGCTGTAGAATTTATAGTTAGGACCCCATCAGATAATTGTGGATAGCGATAATTTAAAGTATGACCTTTGACCGTTTAACCTAAGATGATCATGACTACAACAAGAGGCCCAAGGGCCTTAGCGGTCACCCGAGTTATATCATGGGTACTGGTAGCTTTATTTTATTGTTTAGATGTGATGTGGAAATCAGCATGTAAACTAAGTGAAATATAATACTTGCATTGTCATGTCATCAAAGGATAAGAATTTTAAAATATTGGTAAATGTTCCCTTTGGGGCCCCGCCCTAGCTCCTAGGGATGCAGCAGGAATTCTAATTCTACAATGTAATACCCTCATCCACCAAAGATGATTCTGACCAAGTTTAAATATTTTTCTGCCGAAAATGGATAAAATATACTCAAAAAGTGTTATTTCCCTATATAAACTGTAGTAAACTTTAGCCCCTCCCCAAAGGAGGAACGGATGGATCAGGGATCCTGAAATCGACAATTTCAATAAAGCTCCTGATGATCTTTCTTTCCATGCACTGAAATTGACTGTAGTACCTCTGAGTCTGGAGAAGAAGATTTTTGAAATATTGGTAAATTTTCGCTTTAGGCCCCGTCCTGGCCCAGCCCTGGCCCCTAGGGTTGGGGTAGGAATCTCAATTTTACATTTAAAACTATCTTCCTCCAAGGAAAATTCTCACCAAGTACGAATAATTTTCTACATAAAATTGTAAAAATATACACAAAAAGTGTTATTTCCCTATATAAACTATAGTAAACTTTAGCCCCTCCCACAGGGAGAAGGGATGGCCTGGGGGTCCTGAAATTTGCAATTTTAATAAAGGCCCTGATGATCTCTCTTTTTATGCACTAAAATTGAATGTAGTACCTCTGAGTCTGGAGAAGAAGATTTTTGAAATATTGGTTAAGTTTCCCTTTGGGACTCCCGCCCTGGCCCCAGGGGTTGGGGTAGGAATCCCAATTTTACAATTTTGTAGCCTCATCTACCAAGGATGATTCTGACTAAGTTTGAAAAAAATATATCCACTGGTTCTTGAGAAGTTGAAAATGTAAAAAAGTTTATGCACGACTGACGATGACGGACGGAAAGCAATTAGAAAAGGTCACGTGAGCAAGCTCAGGTGACCTAAAAACTAACTTCTGTTACAAATGTGTCCAGGTTATCAATGCTGATATGACCGGACTAACTTCCATACCTTTTTTGAGACTTGTGCCTGTTGACAGGGTGTTCAGTTTGTCCTTCATTGAACTAACATCAGCCCTAACTGTAGCAACATCCTCCTTCATGGCGCCGACATCTTCCTTTACAGCACCAACATCTTCCTTTACATCACCAACATCCTTCTTTACAACACCAACATCCTTCTTTACGGCACCAACATCCTCCTTTACGGCACCAACATCCTCCTTTACAGCACCAACATCCTCCTTTACGGCACCAACATCCTCTTTTACGGCACCAACATCCTTCTTTAGATCATCTAAAGACATACAAGGCAAAGTACATTATTTCTATGCAGGTCAGTGAAGTTGATTTACATAGGAAAAAATTATCACGATCCAAGAGGGATCTTTACCATTGTACCATCTTCATTAGCTCTTTGTTAGTTCAATCTAGATCTTTTCTCTTCTTTTCTCTTATCGGTTTGATCGAGTCCTGTTAACAGTAATAAATGCACCTCGAGGTAACTTTTGATCTAAACTTAATACTGCTGTTTACATAAAAGACAACCTTCAAAGTGAGTTTGTCATTTCACATATTTACTAGTACAGTACTTAATTTGAAAGAAATAGAACCGATCACTAAATATGAGAAAAATCTGTTTAGTTCTTCCTTCGGCCATTTTGTTTTTATGATCAGTCTCAAAATATAACATGCACAACAAGGGATCAAGGGGAACCATATCAAATTTGAGAAAGAACCCTCAAGTTATTCCTGAGAATTAGCACTACCAAACCTTCAATGTCAAAAATCAAAGATGGCTGCCAGTCGGCCAGCTTGTTTCAAAAGTAAACATGAACAAAAAAGGACAGTGGGGAACCTGCATATACAAATTTGAAAAAGAATCCTCCAGTACTTCCTGGGAAATAGCACTAACAAACCTTAACTGTCAAAATCAGGGAATTGTTTATCAGATCAGTTTCATAAGAAAACATGCACAACTACAGACCAAGGGGAACCTGCATGTCAAAGAAAGATCTCTCCTGTCCTTATTGAGAAATAGCTGTTACAAACCTTCACCGTCAAAATTCAAGACAGCTGTTGCATGACAGTCAACCATTTTGTTAATCCGACCAGTCTCAAAAGTAAACATGCACAACGAGGGACGAAGGGAAACCTACATTTAATATTTGAGAAAAATCCCTCCAGTGCTACCTAAGAAATAGTGATAACAAACTTTCACTGTAACAAGAGGCCCAATGGGTCTGCATCGCTCACCTGGTATAAATCTCACACTTGTAACCTTAAAAGTGATCTAAAATAAAGCTACAGGCAAAATATCAGTATTTATGATTAAAATTCATTCAAAAGACCCTGTTATTTATTTTTTAAACATTTCACCCCTGTGATTGAAAGTTGAACAAATTTTATAGCCTTTCATCTCAGGATGCAACTTGCAAAGTATCAACATCCTGGGACCCATGGTTATTCAGAAGAGGTCGTTTAAAGATTTTAAACAAATTCGGGCCAGGTGAGCTAAAAATAGTGTCACAAACGTGAAATCTTAAAATCCAAGTTGACTGCCTGGCAGCTGCCATCTTGTTATTTCTTATTTCAAAATAAAATATTCATAATGATGGACCAAAGGCAATCTATGTATGAAATTTGAGAAAGATCTGTTCAGCAATTCTTCAGAAATGCCAGCTGGCAGCCATCTTGTTTTTTTTATCAGTCTTAAAATTAAACATGCATTTCAAGGACTATATGGGGAAATATACAAATGAGATTTGAGAAAGATTCTTTCAGTAATTCTTGGGAAATAGTGATACCAAGAATTATATTAGGACAGCCATGGGACCATGGACAAAGGCTATTTGAACAACTCGTCATCTGATGTATATGACTAAAATAACCTGACAATCCAACATCTAACCTACCTTTTATATCCAATAGAAGGGCCTCGATGTATTTATTTGTCATTCTGTGGTCCATTTCCATGGTAAGTATTTCATCCACTGCCACTACAAACCGCCCTGTATTCAGTTCACTGTTTTGTATTTCCTCCACACTTTGGCGGATGATGTCCCAACTAGCCTGAAAATCTCCATCAGAAAGAGAGGTATTGGGTGCATGTGCAAATACCTCATTGCGCTGCTCACGTAGACGGTCGATGTTGGCCGACAGCGATCTGTCTGCAATATTCGGTGCGTTTCCCCAACTTTTCTGATGAGATGGAATATTTCCAATGTTTCTTAGAAGGATGTAAAGAAGTGATGTGTCCAAATCCTTCACAGAACCTTCATACACCCCACCTTGAGGATACAGAATGTTCTTTTGATGTCGCAGCAACACAGAAAAGATCTTCCTTTTCTGGGTGGTAAGTACTGCAGATAGTCCTGATGCTGGCAACCGAGTGTTGAGCAAATCTCGCAATAAGTCTGGGATGACATCGATGACCAACCTGCAAATCCGTGCAAAATTTGTGGTTTCCTTGGAAGACTGGTAATTGGTAGCCATCTTTGATTTGGTTTAAATGATGAAAGCAAGGGTGATTCTGGAAAATAGAGAAAATATGTCAGAATCTCATTACAGCTCGGATCAAGGAGGGCAGGGGTATAAATAGTTATAATTATGGCCTAGTATCCAATAGTCTGGTTTCCGTTCAGTCAGCGTGTGTCCTGTGTTGAACAGTGTCTGGCTCGCGACTGGTTATCGTCCATGATGCTTTTGTCTTTTTTGGCTGAATCAGCTTTAGCGGTCAAATCAAGTTGATCAGCTTTAAGGCCGACTATGCATGCTTGTCCTGACCTATCAACCACTGACTGAACATCACGGATGATTGCCAGCAGTATAACCTACTGTCGGCATTCATCCGTGACGTTTGATGAACCATTATCGTTAACGAACAATGGCGTCCCTGATCAGAGACATATATTATATACAGTATGTATTATTAATAAGGATGTATATATACAATCGAATCTGCTCAAGCGACCACCCTTATTAAGCGACCATCTTCCTTATGCGACCATTTTGATATCCTCCCGACACATTTCTCTATATAATTTAACTGTAATAAGCGACCATCTTCCTTACGCAACCAGCGACCACCATTTCTCGATCACTGGACGAAAATTACTCTTGGTCCAGCGACCATTTTTACAACGACCGAAAACAAATTTGTGCGGAGGTTAGAGTAATTTACGAAATTATGCAAGAGTTATTTCCCCCTTTACTGGGAATGTGCTGAGGTTCGTTTCGTTTCTTCACAAAGTCTGCAATATTGATACCTTTTTGTCTACTTCCGCAAAAAGTGAGTGGTTGTCACTGTAAACAAAAGGTTTGAATCCCTGATTTTGCGCCAGTACGATAGCGGATGGCGAGCAGAAAAGTTCTGACTTTGGAGGAACAATTGGAAGTAATTAAATTAAGTACGTCAAACTCGTTATCAGCAAGGAAGATCGCTGAGAAATTAGGTGTTGGTAAAACTCAGATTCAAGGCATTTTAAAACGTAAAGTCGAACTACTACGACGGAGACGAATTACCGGGAATTGTATATATTGATGTTTTATATTTGTAGGTTTTTTTCTTTGTCAGACTATAGAACCCTTACTCTATTAAGAGACCACCCCCTTTAAGAGACTACTTTTAAAATTTCCCAAAGGCGGTCTCTTAATGCAGACTCGACTGTACATCGTTTTAATATCAAACCTTCCTCCCATTGTCTGTCCCTTGGTCAAGCGGTGAATCAAGGCACTAGTTTATTGTGGTTTGACATGTACAGCTGTAAATACTTATCCACAACAGATGTTATAATAAGTGGTATAATGAGTGATTGCCTACATACCTGGTCAAAGGGGCAATCATATATGAACAGGTACAGTTGGTCACTTACGGAGGTGTGGGGTTATGGGGGATAAATCACAATTTCCACTTCCTGCTCCAGGGGAATTGAGAGTTTGTTTGCCTGCAGGGCTTTCACATTAGTACAGGGATAAATCTCGTTCAGACAAAATACTTATGTATGTCAAGTAATGAGTGTCTTTCAAATAGCTAATATCTGGGTGTTTCTATATCTGTTCAGGCATCCAGAAAACCACTCATCCAGAAACCACCCATCCATGACAAGGTAGGACAAGGGTATAACATGGCAAATATTGTATGGCAATTCATACTGCCCCCGTTCTTTACTTACCAAGCTGTACACCTATCTCAGGATATAGGTCACAGTGACATACTTTTTGTACTCCATTGACATACTTTTTGTACACCAGTGGCATACTTTTTGTACACCAGTGACATACTTTTTATACACCAGTGACATACTTTTTGTACTCCGAACTCCGCCAGCCAGGTGACGAGTACACTAAATACTGTATACCAGGAAATATTTGCCATGTCAATCTTTCGCCCTTTGTCGGTAAAATTGATATTTGCCCAGTTTTCATTTTCCCCTTTATATGTGATAACTATAAATAGAATGTTGTTTTCTAATGTTCGCTGTAATGATCAATTCACCCTCATTACAGAGGGCAAAAAATAGAGGTGTCACGATTCACCGCGATACACTTGTACCACGATTATTTATGTTTGATTCGATACACAATATATTTTTCCGGATTTTCGATATGTCATATCATCGATTTAGTTGGTAGCAAGTTCTTGGGTAGATTTATGCACGCATAACACATTCCATCCTCAATATAGTAAAATTGAAGGAACACGGCTAGCAATTTGATTGTTGTCAGGTAAAAATAACCTGACCAATCGCTAGGCTGATACTTGTCCTTTGAAGATTATATGAGCGATGACCAACTTCAACGACGTTTGAACGTTACGCGACCGCAAGATTCTTTTGATGGACATCAAAGGATCAAACTAGTCTTCTTGTCTCATCAACCACTAGGCGGTGCACACTGAGCCTTCAATTTTGCTATGACATATTCCAGGGGAGCAGAGATTGAAAGTGAGCGTAACACCTGGCTATCAAGGATGGACACTTTGAGAACTGTACTGTACAATAATTTACATGGTATGACCAAATGTCAGTGTACACCTACAATCAACGTAACTGGTACGGCCCCAACAGGTTTAAAGGCTATATCATTGCACCATTATTCCAATACTACAACAATTGTTTGAAAACCAAAATCAGATGAAACCTTCCTATTGAATTTATCTATACACTTAGTCTGAACCAAAAAACTTTGAAACTCGGAAATGTGTGTTTTCGGAGGAAAGGAGGAAAGGAGAATACAAGCTCTTCGTAGCTTATGTTTGTATGTTTATAATATTCGACGTAAAATAAGGCTTCTGTATCTGTAAGTGCATAGGAGGTTTTTTAAAAGAACAAGTATCCATTTTTCTAACGTTACTAAGCATGTTTTCGTACATCAACTAGAAATGTGTTTTTTGTCAATTTCGATGCCAGAAATTTAGGTGGCCCCCGGTCGATTTTTCGACATCCGAGATCTTTCCACCCTTCTCGTGTATATATCATAATATATCATAATTGGGTGGCATTTTTACCTAAAGACGATCTAAACCCCTGTGTAAAATTACCCTGAACACCTTAGTTTAGGTCCAAATATAGCTGTAACAAACTATCAGGTCTCTGTATGACAACTTTACAGACATCACCAATAAATCAACAAATCATTCAGCTAGAGAGTAATGAAAGAGGAGTAGCAAAAAGTTTCCTATTTCATACCTAATCATGTTTTTATAATCAGTTTGAACGAAGTGTGCGTTACACACTACATCAGCCGGTGACGGTTTGCCCGATCGCATCTTTTTATGGCGACACTTCAGTTCTTCTTTGTCGTACGGGGGTCTGGGTGGGCGTACGTTGCAGTTAACGTTGTAGACCTGGCTCTCTGGGAAAGTTGTGTCCTCCACTTCCAGAACATTGTGGTACACAGACCGTGATACACAGCAGTACTTCACCTGTAAGTTCACCATTCATCAGCGACTACAGGCATCAACGGGTACGTTTGAGATGCTGTCCTGGACGGCCGGGACAGACAGAACAGCTCTCCAATGCGATGGCACAGCTGTTCCGGACTGTCCAATCTGTTCCCGCCGAGGAGGTGGTGTGGCGCGGCACAGTGACGTCACAAACATGGCGCCTATCGAACAGGACTGTAATTTTACAAGTGCTCAAAGATCAAGAGGAAATTTCGCCCAAACGTAATTGAAAAAGATTTTCCCTATAAATTGAGACCAATTTGAACAACGTAACATATATATCCTCGGGTTACCAGTTTCCGCGCACTTAAGAAGCATCCGTGATTTCGTACTCATATCGGCAGAAAACTGTTGAAATTACGGAAGACTGTCATAAACATGAATACAATGTACTAAAGGAAACAAAAAAAGCTTCGTTTGGAATACAAAAAATATCCATGATCGTCAAATTAATTATCAAAATACCTTTTTTTAAATTTCACATTTTTAATTCATTTTTCAAGATGTCAAATTGAAAGAATTCATGTATTTTTTAAAAATTATTTATTATATTTATTTAGTTATAATAAAGAATCTGTTATTATTATTTGTTCTGCAGTTTTATATCGGTTTTGGTTGATGGTAAGTTATTTCTCATTTTGTTCTGTTTAAAATTGGTGAAAACTGGAAGTTCATTGGTTTCATTTCATTGAAAACACTGTTTATCGATATAAGAATGTCTCCTTGGCTCTTCGGAAGTGGAAAAAAATCGGCGAGGAGATGTGACCTCATTTGCATACGCCATTTTCGTACGTTTGTCAGATTACAAAAAAGACTGGTTCACGAATGAAATATATCACCGTTTTTTCAGGTATGGGTTCATTTTGAGCAAGATAAAAAGTGCATTAAGCAAAACTGCATATTTATGCGTGTTTTTTTAATCGGTGATTATTTCTTATGTTTTCCGGTATTGTTTGTGTCAGTTTATAGACGATGGCCAAAAGTCTAAAATATCCTTGTGTTGTGACCAGCAGGTCACATAGTTACGAGATATAGCTTGATAAAATGTCTGCGCGGAAATACATAACGCGCGGAAACTGGTGACTAGACGATATATGTGAATTTTTAGTTTTAGTGATTTTATTTTTCGTTTACCTTTTTTCACAAATTTGTTTTCTTGATCCATTCACGGCTAAATGTGCTGAATAAAATAAGGTGTAAGCTGGCAAAATCGATTGGACATTTATTTTTTAATCGTCAAAAACCACCTGCCACCAATCTAAGGGTATTATAGCCAGTTGAGAGTCTGCCGACGCCATATTGGATTAAGTACTTTCTGTTTCGGCGCATTCGAAACTTCCTGTACCAAAGAACAGTCAGGACAGGTTCTTGACAGGCGTCTCGAACACACCCAACGTGAAATTAGACCGTATACACCAGATCGCGCCTCCTTTTAACAAGAGATCCCAGAGGGATCTTGGCGCCCACCTTTGTACCATCTTCATTAGTTCTTTGTCAGTTCGATCTTTTCTCTTCTTTCCTCTAATCTGTTTGATCGAGTCATGTTAACAGTAAATGCACCTTGAGGTAACTTTTGATCTAAACTTAATACTGATGTGTATGAAAGCCAACCTTCAAAGTGAGTTTGTCATTTCACATATTTACTAGTACAGTACTTAATGTGAAAGAAATAGAATTGATCATTGCAATATGAGAAAGATCTGTTTAGTTCTTCTTTTAATCCGTTTTGTTTTTATGATCAGTCTCAAAATAAAACATACAAAACGAGAGATCAAGGGGAACCTACATTTAAAATTTGAGAAAGATCCCTCCTGTACTTCCCGAGAAACAGCGATAACAAACTTTCAATATCAAAATCAAAGATGGCTGCCTGTCGGCCATGTTGTTTATCCGATCAGTCTCAAAAAAATGCCCTGCACAGCTTAGGACCAAGGGGAACCTACATATAAAATTTGAGAAAGATCCCTCTGGTAATTTTTGAGAAATAGCGATAACAAACTTTCACTATCAAAATCCAAGATGGCTGCCTGTCGGCCATGTTGTTTATCCGATCAGTCTCAATAGTTGCCCTGCACAGCTAAGGACCAAAGGGAACCTACATATAAAATTAGAGCAAGTTCCCTCTGGTACTTCCCGAGAAATAGTGATAACAAACTTTCAATATCAAAATCAAAGATGGCTGCCTGTCGGCCATGTTGTTTATCCGATCAGTCTCAAAAGTTGCCCTGCACAGCTAAGGACCAAGGGGAACCTACATATAAAATTTGAGAAAGATTCCTCTGGTACTTCTTGAGAAATATCGATAACAAGAATTGTTTACGGACGGACGACGGACGACGGACAACGGACGGACGACGGACGACGGACCACGGACGCAGGGTGATTTGAATAGCCCACCATCAGATGATGGTGGGCTAAAAAGAGCGATTCCCACTAGTACACCCGCGCCCTCTACGGGACAAAAATGTCGCGGTGGAAACCATTGCAAGCAGGAAGTGATAAAACATGACATTCATGATCATGACCGCGCCTGGAGAAAATATGAAATGACAGACAAATATGGACTAATTATCTTTTCAAAATTAAATAAAGCTTCTCAACTGCAAAATTTATAACCACTTTTGTGACTTCTAATGATTACCTGGTGATAAAATTAGGAGCAACGCCCCGCGGCCTCTTCCTGCCTAGATGGCTTCCATCTTCAATGTGACGTCTGCTGAAGTGAAACGAAGAGCGCTGCCTGGCGGAGAGAAATAATACTAAACTTCCGTCGAGTATTTGTCTATTTGTCTATTTGTGAAACAGGTATAATATAAAACAGTTTTAGCTTTACATGATTGCGCTGGATGGGTGTGCCGTTTATGTCTATATAATATATCTGTCATGGTGTGTGTAATGTACTTGTATTATATAAGGTTGTAATTGTGACGTATGAGAGGTGATATAAAGTATTGGCTGAGAGAGACACTACCTGCATGACCTGAGCGCCCCGCTTGTATTTTAACACCAGTCAGCGCGCGGCAGTCTATTATTATTATAAGGTCATTCCAAGCGGATAAAATACATTTGAAAACTGTCTGTGACCGAAACGGATACGTATGGCTTGTTAAATCAACAGCACTCGTCAGATTAACCACCAACGAATTGACGAGTGTAACAGGTGTCCTTATACACGTCCCTGGATATACACAGTATATTAGATCAGCATATCGGATTTTGTCTGATTTTTGTGTGAAGTGTGTTTCCTGAATGAACGCTATGTCTACTTTTTGATTAAATAAATGTGTTTAAACGATTTCTTTTGTTCTTATCTCCTAGTCCTTGGGTATTAAGCGACAGAATATGGACTGTGCTTTTAGATTGGTCATTAGGGATGCATTAGAGTGTGTATGATATTAGACTATAGACATGTAGGTATAACCTTTTTTCAATTTGCTTTACATATATCGAGACATACTTAATTATGCCTTGAAAATATTTGATCTTTAACAAATGGATGTAATACTGAGATATGTTTTGAAGTTCACTTACCAACATTTTCAGGATCAAGACAGGTTGAATTACATAGCAAAATGTAGGTACAGTTGTTATTATAACTGTAAGCTTACCTGTCTCTTCATGTTTGTTTACCTTGTACCATATTTTGAATACATGTTAAACATTTATCAGTATTATAATTTCCAATACCGAGACGTACCTACGAACGTCTGTAAGATATGTGATTTTAAGTACATACATGTAATGTTGAAATTCTTTTTTTAGTATAGTTACAACTGTCTTTAAATTCAAAACTAGCCTGGTACATTTAGGTATTACAGAATTGTGGATACAAGTATGTACACACTACATGTAGTAATAGTTTGTACTCCTTCCCATAAACATACATGTATATATCTATACAATGAATATACACACATGTACATGTATATTAACGAAGTTTTTGTTTCATACAAAGATTGTCCGACTCGTACCATATTTCGAGTACAACGTTTATCATTAATATCGTCTTATTCGGTTTCCAAGCGTTCATTTTTGTGTACTCGTTGTCATTCTCATTAGTCCATAAAGCGATAAACAGTTCAATATAACCAAATAACAGGTTAGACATGGTAGCGGATCAGGGTCGACCGCTGGTACCACTTGCCTTTCAAGTATTACCGGCGGTCGTAGGACCTGAGCCTGTGTTAACCTTTTTTGTCGTTGTGTTTAGCTCTTCACTTGGGGTTGGTGGAGTCCGGCTTTGTCTTGACTTTTGTCCAGGCGCTTTGTTGGGTACCGAGGACGGTGTCGCGACCTTATTGGATTTACCCGTTACAACGCGTCCGTTTCCTGTGTACACTTTAATTTGACGACGCTCTTTATGTGCATCACTGTCAGGGATGAGCGTGTCATTATTAGTGTTTTGAGGGAGCGGGTCGTTGTCGGAGCTATGATCACTGTCGTAGTCGTCTTCACGTGCGTTTTCATTGTCGTTGGTGTTTACCTCGTCACGGTCCTCGGCTTCGCTGGTAATGCCGTCAGACTGGGGTACCCCAGAGGGTGATGGGCATTCTGATTGTTTATGTCCGGATTGCAAAACAAACTTAGCCTTTATTAATGTATATATGTTGAATTGTTTTTCCTCTATTGAATTGAAGTTTTTCATTATTAGAAAATTAATTCCAATGATAGTCAAAGAGGTCGCCATTTTAGGTTTGGAGATTCCAAGTGTTGTTGAAAGCACACCAATCAATGGTGCTGAAGTCACACACCAGATTTATCCCGAAATATTTTGGAGCACAAGCCGGGGCTACTCCAACAATGTTAGAGGTTTTACACGGCGAAAAACTTTTGACAGGCGCCGCGTAACCTCTAACTGCCCATAGCTGATTTTCCCGATGCTGACGATCAAATTTTCAAAGTTCGGATTTAGAAAAAGTATAGTGTGTTTACATACATTTAAATATTCAGCGAGTCCACTAAATGTTCCTTTACATAAATCCATGATTAAATGAGAAGAATTTGGTGTCAAAGACATAAAAAATAAGTTTTTCCTTTTTTCAAAGTGAAGCAGACAACATTTGCCTTGATTTTCCGGTCAATACAAAAATGGAATACACGTGATGGTTAACAAGCGGAATACAACCAAACTCCATCTCGTTTCGTTCCGTTTGAAATTCCCCCTGCTATTTTGTACTAAATATGAAAGCCATGTTTTAAAGTAGGTCAGAGAATGCTACAACGACAAGGACATGTATTTTGAGTGATCTATTCCTTAATATATTATATATTTGTGTCTGTGGCATACATATGGGATCTGTATTACATGAAAGTGAGTAGACATCGTTGTCATGAACTGTCAACCACTTGATTGAGTTTTTCAAGCCGATTTAGTTCCGCCCAGATTTCGGGCGGAAACTGCATCAAAGAATTAGTGCTTCGGAAAGGAGAGGTCGCAGTCGGCAAAATCATATCCGATAGAAAAAAAGGCCGACCAGCGGCCTCTCATGTTATGGGAGTAAAGCCGGGGCTTAACTTCGATCTGAGAACCTCCCCTTGGTCTCTCTTTTAAAGGACCATGGTCCTTAATGATCTGCAGAAAAGTAAGGAACTTTCCATGAGTAACGTTAACGAAACAATCATGACGGAACAGCTCTAAAATAATCGCAGTCAGTTGAGCGATTGATTCACAATAACATCGGAAGGTGACTGCAAAGCGTCACATTGACAAGGATAAACTTACGGCATAACCAAATCACGTGTGATATTCAATCTGCCATGAAAACAAACTCCTATGGAGGACTTCAACGCAACTATGACATGTTTTTGTTCATTTTGCAAATTAAAATTCTCGCAAATATCTGGAGAATAATTTTTCATGGACTGAGTGTTTGAGAGAATTTGTTTGATATTGATTTTTTTATGTTTCTTTGCGCTGATATGCGGAAACAAGTCACCTTCAAATCATACATCAAAACTTCAGACTTCAGTTTATACTTGACCCTTTACTGCCCAAAGATAATCCAACAAATGTCTAGCCAATTTAACCTCGTTGTTATCATATGTAAATATATAACCGACAGACATGAAGCTGCACGTAGTAACTGATCTAACTCACGTATATGGTAGTATTCGTGTTGTTGAATGTACATGTGTTGCTCGTGGGTTAATTCTACTAGTATACCATGAAGGCTCAAAGGTCAATATTGTTATATTCTGCATCTCCATGAGACATGTCAAAGAAGTTAGCATTCTTTAGTCTCTTACCCTGGACAGGTGTATCCACACTTTTCTCCCGGTGTAAGATATCCCTTTCTCCCACACCTGACAGATTTATCTCCCGTTTTGCCGGTGCTAGATTTATCTGTATCCGCCCTAGGGTTGAGACGGGGGGGATTCCCCTATTCATAACAATGGCATGACGTCACTTCAACACTACAATGACGCCACGTCAACAATCCATCAACATATTGCCTGTATGTGTTTTGGGTCCATGTTTACCTTTATTTCACATGAAAATACTGTTAGATATGGGAGATAAATAACCAATCGCTACTGGTTGTGTAAGATAGAGAAATCTCAACCCTCGGACTAAGATTTTTTGTCCAGAACTCGGCAAGCCTCGTTCTGGACAAAAAATCTTAGTCCTCGGGTTGAGATTTCTCTATCTTACACAACCAGTAGCGATAGATTCTATTATTCTCTTACCATGGACTGGGATATCCACCATTTTACCGGTGTGATAGATTCTATTATTCTCCCACACCTGACAGATTTATCTCCCGTTTTGCCGGTGCTAGATTTATCTGTCTCCGCCCTAGGGTTGAGACGGGGGGATTCCCCTATTTATAACAATGGTATGACGTCACTGCAACAATACAATGACGTCACGTCGACAGTCCATCAACGTCACGTTAACCCTGAATTTAGCATGTAACGTTATCATTACATTGTGTATATGATACACATTGGGGAAAACAGGGTACATGTAGGAGAAAAAGAATCATTCACCCCCTTGTGGGTAAGATAGGGGAATCTCAACCCTCGGGGAAAGTTCCTTAAGTTGCCAAACACTCGGCAAAGCCTCGTGTTTGGCAACATAAGAATCTTCCCCCTCGGGTTGAGATTCCCCTATCTCACCCCAAAGGGGGTGAATGATTCTATTAATCTCACCCTAGGGTTAGGACAAGCTACACGTGTTCTTTGCACGTTCTCAACAATTGTATGACGTCATAGCAACAATACCATGACGTCACGGCAACAATACAATGACGTCACGTCGACAATTCAGCCGAATCACATCAACATTGTCTTGCATTGATGTAACGTCTATATAAAATACATAAGAGGGTAAACAGGGTAAGAGAAAAATAATAACTCATCCTCTTGGGAGTGAGACAGGGTGATCTCAACCCTCGGGGTAAGATTATTAAGCTGTCAAACACTCGGCAAGCCTCGTGTTTGACAACTTAAGAATCTTACCCCTCGGGTTGAGATTACCTTATCTCACACCCAAAGGGGTGAGATATTCTATTATTCTTTATCAACAGATAAGTACCTCTAGTGAAAACACAACCGATGTTCTATCACTGTTGACAAATGATTTTCTTGTTTTGATTTTAGTATCAATGATGACTCCTTATTCGACGAAAGAGCCATATGGTGTAGTAAATTTTCATTTTTGATTTCTTAATCAACCAGCATACTTTTGAACAGGTTTTTCGTTATTTTGTTT